AGAAAGAAAGAAAGAAAGGGTGGATGAATAAAAATATTTCCTTCTTTGTTTTTTTTGTGGACTAGTCCTTCACCTAACTTTTCTGCTCTTGCTTTTCGGTTGAACATTTAGAAACATTTCTAGGAAATAAGGAGGAGAAAGCATGCTGTGCTGGAAAAACAAGTGCTGAGTGTAAATGCAAAGGAGCCATGGTCCTTCTGTAGGTTAAGCATTGGGCTACTGACAGAGAGTCTGCAGTTCAAATCCCCTGACTGCTCTGTGGAGGAAAGATGAGACAGTTGCCTCCTGTAAAGACTTGTGACTTTGGAAACCCTATGGGGCAGTTCTGCTGTGGCCAGTAGGGTCCCTCTGAGTCAGAATCAACGTCACGACAGTGGATTTTGTTATTTTTTAGGGTGAGGGGAGGTTTCTAAATGTCCATCTATATGTGAGTGCATCTCTGCCTCAACTCTGGGATTTTGTAACATGCGCCTCTTCTCTTTTCTAGTGTGGGAAAAGCTAGCTTTCTATGAAGAAAACACGAGGGATTTTCTCTTCCCAGAGCCCAGGCTGACCCACTCATACCCTGGCCTTTGTCGGGAGGTACTTATGAAGACGGTCGCAGGTTTTCCAGTAAGTGGACTGGGCCTTTGGGGCTTCCTGATGACAGGACCTCAGCTGATCCCTTCTCCTTGTTTGATGCCCTTGTCTTCTGGTTATTGGTGATGTTCTTCTCAGGTGCTGTGGAGTCTGCTGGGACTCATAGTGACCCTGCCAACAACAGAACAGAAGCCTCCCCAGTCCTGAGCCATCCTCACAACCTCTGCTGGGCTTCAGCCCGTTGCTGTAGTCACTGTCGACCAGTCTGTCTCACTGAGGGTCTTCCTCTTTTTTGGCTGGTCCTCTACGCTATCTGGCAGGACGTCTCTCTCCAGGGGATTGGCCTTTCCTGATAAGATGCCCAAAGTATGTGAGATGGAGTCCCAACATCCTTGCCTTTAAGAATCTGTTCTTCTGAAACATGTTTGTTTGTTCTTTTGGCCACCATTAGCATGTTCAGTGCTCTTCTTAACACCGTAGCTCAAAGGCATCACTTTGTTTTTGATCTTCCTTATTTTGATATTAGTGGTGGCCTTTTTTAAAAAAAAAAAATTCTTGTGTGTGTAGCCTCAAATTAGATCTGACTGGTACAGGAGGAGATTGCCCCTTCTCCTGTAGAGCATCTGGTGGGTTCAAACCGCGTACCTCTGGGATTGCATGCAGTTTCTTGCCATGAGGCTACCAGAGGTCCCATGGCAGCCTGGGTGATGCTGCTGACTATGAGGTTGGAGGTTCAGGGCCTCTCAGAAACTTTCTGAGGAAAGTCTGGACTCCCGCAAATTCAGCCTGAAAATCCTGAGGCTCACACTTCTCTGCCACACGTGGCTTTGCCGAGGGCTGGCATCAACCCGACTGTAACTGGTGTGGTGTTAGCCTTGGCAGACACTAAACTCAAAACACCAAATCCTTCCCTCTGCTGATCTGTGAGGTAAGGACCGTATCTAATCAGACTCGGTCACTGCCCCATCCACATCAGTACACATTTAGGAAAAGGTTGACTTTCCCCCTCCTTTTAATGCATATGGATATAGATATTTGCTATCACATCTTTATCTGGTCACAGTTTTTATTTCAATAGGGAGCTCTGACGGCATAGGGGTAAGAAATTGTGTTGCTAACACAAGGACATGCAGTTCGAATCCACCAGCTGCGCTCTGTGGCGGACAGACGGGCAATTTCTTCCCCTGTGACTTACAACCTTTGACAGCTCACGGGAGGGTCAGCTCTGAGTCGCTCTGACTCTAGGGCACGTAACAGCAACAACAACACTATTTTAACATGTTGCTGCAAATGACGATTTTACAGTCAAATGGAAGTCATAAACAATTGAAAAAAAATGTGTTTCTAAGCACGGTGCCAATTTAAAAGTGTGCAGTAGTGTTTCTTGGACCTTGGGGTTGGTGAAGAGTATTGACTCGTCCATGGACTACTGGAAGAATGACCACACCCATGTGGAGAGAAGCACAGCCAGAGAGAGAGCTCCTCAGAAGCAAAGAGGGAGGCTTTGTCTCCGGTACTTTGGCCGTGTTATCAGAGGGGCCAGTCTTTGGAGAAGGACATTGTGTTTGGTAAGGTAGATGGTAGGTGAAAGAGAGGACCTCAGTGAGCTGGACCGACACTGTCTGTGACAGCGTCTCAAACACAGCCGTGCTTGTGGGGACTGTTGGGATCAGGAGGCCTTTCATTCTGTTGTTCACAGGGGCACCGTAAGCTCAAATAGACTGAACGCACCCAACACAGCAACAACAGCATTATCTTTTAATAAACACAACAAAACAGAGTAGTAATAGTAGTAATCCCGTCTCTCAATTAATTTGTGCTTTCGGATTTCCACATATGAGGTCTTGTTTTCCAGAAGAATTGTTAGCCAATCCTGTTGTTACAGTCTCCAGTTAGCAGCGGGGAAGCTGACAGACACACTGATAGGACTGAAGGAACTTACAAACCCAGCAGATACCGGAACCAATTGCAAATCATTCTTTGGATGATATCTGTGACTTGTAAGACTTCCACAACAGTGCTGACTTTTTAAAAAAACTTTCATGTTACTAGGATGGCCTCATTTGAAGGTATTCATAAATTATAAAAGACATATTTAAGCTCAACTTTCCTGATAAGTGCTAAATAAATTGCTATTATTATAATTTAATAAAACTCTATTAAATTCTCACTTGCTGGAAAGTGCTGTGCAGGACGTCGAGGGTGGTAGAGTTTCTCATGCTCACACCTGACCCAGCACACATTCACTGGAGTGGAGCTGAGAAGAATGCCCCACAACCCACTTACAGCGGGAGCCTGGTGGTGCAGTGTGTAAGTACTCAGCTGCTAACCACCCCACCAGCGTCAAGACAAGGAGAAACGCATTTTCTTCCCATTTCCCCAACACTTGTTGTATATCATCACGTTCGAACAAACTCATAGCTGATCCTCCAATGGGTTTTCAGAGGCAGTAAATTGAGAGTTGATTGCTCATCTTTCTCCCAGGGAGCATCTGGTAGATTCGAACTGCCTATCTTTGGGTTGGCAGCACAAGTCCTTACCGCTTAACCGTGAGCACTCCATTCCCCATCAGTTATCTCTCTTTATCTTTATGAGCAAAAAGAGAAAGACCCAGAAGTAAACTGCAGCCATTCTCCCCAGAAGAGGCTGGAGGCTTCACACTGCAGACCTTTTAGTAAACTGAGCACTTACTATGGAACCACCTGGTCCCCTTCCCTCCTGAGAAAGGACTTTACCATGCTGGAAACAGCACATTATTCTTGGTGCACTAGAGCTAAAGTAGTACTTCTTAGGATCAAGCTAAATTATATTGAAGGGAGCTCTGGTGGCTTAGGGGTAAGGAGTTGTACTGCCAACCCAAAGGCATGTGTTTCGAATCTGCCAGCTGCTCTTTGGGAAAAAAGATGAGCTGTCTCCTTTCATGCAAGTTTTGGCTTCTGAAAACGTGCCAGGTGGTCACCTAAGAGTTGATTCCCACTTGATGGCACACAGTAACAACAACAACAACAAGGACGACGACGACGACATATTGAAGCTACATTTAAGATACATGTGTAGCTTAAACTATAAGAAGAAAACCCTCAAAGAGATGGATCGACACAGTGACGACCACAGTAGACTTGAACGTATGGAGGTCATGAGGATGACAGGAGGGAACAGGGTCTCGTTGTGTTGTTCGCAGGGTTGCTGTGAGTCCTGGTCGACTCCACGGCACCTAACAGCAACCACCACGACCACAGTACTTAAGCCGTCGGTAAACATGCTGTTAAACTTTGTACCAGCCCTGGCTCCTGGTAACAATTTGTGAAGCTGACTGAAGTGTGGTCCAGTCATGGACATCTTCATGAACATTGATGGGTTTGCATCCTCTGTGGCTGTGGTGATGCTCTATTTCATGGGGCGTTGTTGACTACGGGGAGCTCTGATGGCCTAGTGGTAAGGAGTTGCACTGCCAACTCAGAGGAATGCAGTTCAAGTCCACCAGCTGCTTCTCTGGAGAAAGATGAGAAGTCTCTTGCCATGGAATTTACAGCTTCTGAAAACCTGCTATGAGTCAGTTTAAACGCAGTGACACCTAGCAACTGCAGTGAGGGTGTATTGGATTTCTATGGTTACAGCGGATGTACAGTGAACTGCTGGAAGAGCGAACAAATCAGTCTTAGAAGAAATAGCAGAATGGGGTGGTTGTGAGGACTAGATAAATGCAAAATGCTTTATTTTCTTTCTTGGTCATTATTGCAAAGGTGGATTTTAATTTTTTTTAAATTATTTTGTGTGTGTGTACTGTCAGATTTTCATTTTTAATTTTTAGTTTGATTTAAACATTGGTTTTAGTGTGATGCCGATACCAGCTGTGTGGCAATGACTCTGGAGAGGTGTTCATAGCAGCGCACCCCTGTGGCTCTTCAGTCCTGGAGGCTCCAGGGCAGCCAATATTGCCTCGTCAGATCCATCCCTCAGGGCTTTCTGTGTGAGTGCAGCACCACACAGAAAGGAGTCAGGTCGCAGGCCAGCTTTTCAGCTATCTCTGGGGTGAGGGGCTCCTGTTTATTCCTGGCACGTTTCTCAATAGAAGAAGGGCCTCTCATATCAATTTGGGTCCCAACAAACCAGAAAGGAGTCTTTGGACAGTGGTGAGTCCTCTCAGGTACCCACTGTTCTTGCACAGTTTCAGATGAGGATGGAGAAACCACTGAAAAGCAGAGCAGGAATACATCTGCTTGTGGATAACTCAGCAGTCGTAATCTGCGTCATCTGTCATAAACCTCTTGCCCTGCAGTATTGAGAAGTCCAAGAGGATATGGTTCTCCACCAATCATAGCTGTGACTGCACAGTTGTCAAAAACGGTTGGCACATACTCAGATGGAAATGTATTTGTTGCATGCGATATTAGGAGACATGTTTTACCAACAACAGCACCGTCACCCACAACAACACACTTAATTGTCTGCATTGCTGGACCAGTTTCATATCCACATTAAATATTTCAGATTTGATTCTGACCTCAGCTTCTCTGCCGGGGAGTTGGCAGCGCTGCAGAGGGTCGCCTTGGCTGCCAGACCACAAAATGCTTTTCACAGGACCTGGTACATGACATGCTGTATTATGTGTTATCTATTCTTCTGACATACGTATTTTAGATAAGATGTGTGGGCTATGCCAATCAAATGGAAGAATGGCTAGAGTCCCATGTGATTTCAGGCTCACATATGATACACAACAAGCCTGTTTTCCATTTTCCAGTACTTTCATTTGTTTTCTATCTTCTTACATTTTTAGGGCATTGCTCCGAAATTGGAATTTTCTACAAGGACAGCCATCAGAGAATGCACGTATCTGTATAGAAACAGATTTCTTGTAAGTATAATTGAGAAGCCAGTCATAGAAATGACTAGAAATTTATCTGTGCATTTGAGGAATTTCAACCCAAATTCAGTTTTTCCAGTTTAGATGCATTAGGGCCCACTGACTCAGTAGGGCCCGTTTACTCACCCAGAGGTTGTTCTCCAGCCTTTACTGTCCACTGTTGGTCAGATGCACAGTCTCCCCTTGGTTCTTCTTTTGCAGGAGCTCAGAGCTGCATTGGTGGCATTTCTCGCCACCTCAAAGGCTTTAAGGGTATCGCTGCACTCTGCCTCGATTCCACTCTCTTCAGCCATTTCCTTTCCACCTTAAGTTCCTCCCTTGCATTTTTCCTGTGGTTGTACTTCATTTTGTTGCTATTTAAAAATCCTTTCTAGAGCAGTATGGAGAATGAGTGAATGCCATTTATAACGCTTCATCAAGGACTTTTGGAACCGGGTGGAGTAAGATTAATAAATGAAAGAAAAACGCTTGTAATCCCAAATCACACTTGTGGTTCTGGGAAATACCTTGGAAATGTGGCCTGTGGGCTTATAATTCCAAATGAGAAAGTTGCTAATTTTAGTAAACTCATCCTTCTGGGAATAACGACTCATACACAAAAGGAGACTACTTAATAATTTTAAGAAAGGCACTGGCGTTGTTGTGATGAACGCTCTTGACACTAACAGGAAATCAAAAGACAAACTGCATTAGGAAAATTTGATGTCCAGGACCTCTCCAGTGTGCTGAGCAGCAATGATGTCAGTCTAGAGACTAAGGTGCACCTGATCCAGGCCATGGTTTTTGCAATTACTTGCTGTGTGTCAGAGATCTGGACAGTGACCAAAGGTAACAGAAGAATTGATACCTTTCAGTTGTGGTGCTAGAGAAGAGTATTGAATATACCAGGGACTGCCGAGAGAACTGTCTGTCCCAGAGAGGGTGAAACCAAGCTTCTCCTTGGAGGCAAGGATTTTGAGATTCCGTCTCATATACTTTGGGCATGTTGCCAGAAGAGACCAGATGTTGGAGAAAGACTTGATGCTTGGAAGGGTGGAGGGAAAATGCAGGTGAGGAAGACCCTGGATGAGATAGATTGACACACAGTAACTGGGCTAATGGGGGTAGGGGTGTTGGAGACAGTGAGATTGGCTCAGGTTAGGGTAGGGCTCAGAGCTATTGTACTGAGTTGACGCTTGATGGCACATAACAATTACAATACACATAGCCAGGATTATGTCCTTACAATAAACCTTTGAGTTGAAATTACTGAACTCAATAATATGTCAGATTATCACCCTTCCTCCTCTCTCTCTCCTCCTTTAGTTCCTTTCTTTCCTGTACCCATCTACTTGCACATTTATATGTTTATTTATGCTGCTGTGGGCCAGTGTCTGGTACTTTCTATAGAAACTATTCCCTAATACAAAGAAATGAGCTGGGGGTGGGGGGTGGGAAGAAGAACGATCTGGGAAGGAGGGTGGAGAAAACAGTGCAACAATGAATGAATGAAAACCCAAAATCTCTGTAAATGTTCATTAAAACTAATAAAATTTAATAATAATAATAAAAAATGAGCTGTAAAGAAGCAGATCGTTCTAGTCAGTTATAAATATTCAATAATGTCATACTGAACTGGAAAAGATACTCTTCATGTTTTATTATTTTTGTAATTCTTAGATGTTGTGTCTTCTCCCTGAGTTAAAGAAAAGTGCAATTAAATACAGATATCTATTTTGGTGTTTTTTAAAATGTTTTTTTAAAGTTGTAATTTTAGTGAAAGTTTACTACACATTTTCCTTCCTTCCTTCCCTCTCCCGGTTCACTCTGTAATGCCTTGTCTTGTTCTAGATTGCTAATTGCCATGCACATGATTGAATTGTCTTCGGCTGTGGGTTGTTTTGTTTTATTTCCTGAAAAATATCCTTTCGGTTTCATCTTAGGGAGACAGACATAAGTCACAGAGGCCCTTTTCAACATCACCTGGACCAGTGTCTCCCCTGAACAGCACAAAGAGGAAACCAAAGGAGTGTAATCCCAAAAGGACATCCAGAGGCCTCCCATCATGCTCATCTTCTCCACATCCCACCAGACATCTCTTCCGGGACCATCCAACACCCTTGACCTTTGGAAATAGTCTCAAATTTGCCAGAGAAATCAGACCTCCATTTGTCGTTAGACACGTGAGCCTAAATCCATTTTCCAGAATCTGTTGGAAGGGGTGGAAAATGATCTCCACTTTACAGGGGAAGGAAGCTTTGATTAATTGGGACACTTTTCCCATCATTCTAGTCTCCTGCTTGTAGCTCAAGCGCCATCTTGGATTATGTTCATTTCTTAGTGTTCATTCTCAGAAGACATCTATTAAGATGGCCAAGGGAGAAGCCTTACTCTGAGAATGTCACCAGGCCTATTTTTAGTTTTTGGAAATGATTAATGCAAAGTAATACTCTATAGAGGATACTGGTGTTGGCTGGGTCAAGTTGAGATCTGCTCGTGGTGACCCTATGCTCAACAGAAAAAACCCTTCTGGAGCACAGGGCTACTCTGACACACATGGGCCGCCAGGAGATCGAATCAGTGCAGTGGCAGCTGGTAAGCCCAGCTAGGATGCATTCAAGGCTCCTTTCTCTCCTTTGCCTTCAGGTGGACAGTGCAAAGCCCTTTGGTGAGGCTGTTTCAGAGCGTCGTTCTCAAAAGTCTAGGAGAAAGTGCAAGTTGTCAAGTGCTCCATGTTCAATGAAAAGAGGTACTCAGGTTCTTCCGTACATTTACCTATGGAAACGTACATGTCTTATTTCTAAAGCTTTTCCTTTGGAGGAATCACAAATTGCTTTGGAAACTGTGGGGCTAATTCTCAAGTAGTCTCCAGGTGTGGACTTTCCAGGGAGACCAGTCACCAGAGAAGGATCTGGGGGTCTTCAGTTAAGAGTTCCTCTCGGGATGGGAAGACTGTCCTGAGCTGTGTTGGTGAATCAGCGTGCTGAGGCTGCCTTTGCTCCCTGGCTGGGCTGGGAAAGCAGAGAGCAGCTTTGTCCTGCTGTGACCTTCTTGAGAAGGCACCATTGATTGCTAACAAGACTAGCATTTTTCTGCATGGGAGAGAGCAGAGGATGGGTGGAGGCCAGCACACATCATTTGCTGTACTGAGGAGAGGAGCCACCTAGCTGAAGTGGTTAGTCAAGGCAGTGGATTGCAACCTTCCAGACCTCAGCGCTCATTGTATTCTTAAATAGTATCTATTTAAGACCAAGAGCTTTTCTTTCTTTTTTGATAAGGAGCTTTTTGTTGTTGTTGTTGTGCTTTCTTATATCTTGATGTTTAAAGCATTTCTAATGACATAACAGAAAGGTCAGCAGTTCAAATCCACCAGCTGCTCAGGAGAAGGATGTGTCGTCTCCTCTCGTGAAGATTCATAGGCTCAAAAACCCCTTGGAGGGGAGAGTTCACTGTGAGTCAGAAGGGACTTGACGGCAGTGGGTTTGGGATTTGTGTCAATATTTACTATATTAGAAATCAAAAGAGAAATTTAAAAGAGATAAGAAAACACACATTCCAGTAACTGTCAGGAAAGGGTGCATCACACATTTCAGAATGTCATTTTGGAAATTCTCTGTTGTACATTCTTGGAAGAATGTGGGTGGTAAAGTGGATATACCCTAATATCATTAGGAAAAAATGATCCTTTGTAGCTTGGTGTGTAACACATTGACCTGCTAACTGGAAGACTGACTGTTCAATCTACCAGTCACTCTATGGGAGAATGATGGACAGTTTCCTCCCATAAAGATTTACAGCCTGAACCCAATGGAGAGTGGCTGTGAGCCGGAACCCACTCAGCAGCAGTGGGGGTCTTGGTATAATGAACATCACCTTGACCTTGGGATCTACTTATGAAGTCTTGGGTGGTACCTGGACCACATGTTGAGAGGCACTGGGTTAAGATACCTCTTGAAGATCATTACCATGTGGTTGAAATACACAATGTCAGTAAGTTGTGAAGTTTAGATATTCCTGCATTTACTCAGAACCCTAGATGCGTCCACCACCTTTTCTCCTGGTGGGAATGGACCTGGAACGGCCCTGACCACAGGAGGGTTCCCTCCTGTCTTAGGTTTGTACAGTCTCATGTGGTCACTCAAGCCTGCATAGTGTTTGGATAGTAGTAACTGACTCAGCCAACCAAGGACAGAGGACAAGATTTAAAGCAGAAAGTGTTTCATCATCTCTGACACTTAAGTCCTTTGAATTGAAAATCACTTGAGCTGCATATGAAAGTGACTCTCTCCCCTGTGATTGTGAAGTCTGGCTCTGGCCAGCTGCCCCTGCCCAGGGAGACAAGGAGGGCGACAGCATCCGGCGGTGATCACACAGGCCTAGGCCTCAGCCTCAGCCTCATCCAAGCAGTTCGAAAGCCAAGGTGCTGGAGTGTAGGCCTTTTGGTGGTGGTACATTTCGAGAAGACTTCCAGATTTCTGCGCTTCGAACCTTGGAATCTCTAATGTTAGCTAGGCTCTCTATAGAATCAAACAGTATTCTTTCAACCCGGAAGAGCCTCAGCAGCACAGTGGGTTACGCGTTAGATTATTAACTGAAAGGCTGATGTTCAAATTCACCAGTTGCCCCACAGGAGGAAGATGTGAGGGTCTGTTCCCGCGTGAAAACGCACAGTCTTGCAGAGGCGCTGACGTTCTGCTCCGCCCTGCAGAGCCCTTTCAGTGGGAGTCGTTCTGACAGCCTTGGTTTGGATTTCTCCCACTTGTCTGTGCATTGGGATCCCCTGGGGAATCTTGTGTTGCTGTGTGTTCTGATTTGGTGGGTCTAGTGGTCTACTTGGGACTGTGGTGGGACAGTCTGTGTGCTGTGCACGTAACCAGAAGGCTGTGTGCCCCCAGAGGTTTGAGATTTCCACCCTCAGCGACCTGATGGAGGGTCACCAGGAGTTAGAATGTACTCGGTGGCCCTGGGGGCTGGGGAGGGGAGGACCTTGGAATCTGCTTTAGAATCACAGGCTTTCCTGTGACACTGAGGCTGCTGGTTCAGGGCTGGTCCATGGGCACTTTGAGAAGAGCGAGCATGGAGATGAGTCCTCTGTGACAGCTCACTAGCTACGAAGCTCTGGGGCAGGTGGTGGCTATCAGTGAAAGGCCTTAGCACCCCTACTTATTTGGCCCGTCGTTGAAAGAAATCCTTTTACATATTTTTTCTGTGACCAATAGACCGAAGGGTACTTCTGCCCCACCCCCAAGGTCCACTCACACTGGAGGAAGGAATAGCTTTCCTAGTTACTCATTTCCAAATGTGTTTTCAACTTGGAAACATCCAATTTAGTCTTGGTTTTGTCTGCACGTATTTATTATTTCACTTCCTAGGGAGCTCTGGAGATAGAATGATTGAATTTTGTAAAATCAAGTACTTATCCATTGCAAATACATTTTATAAGAGACACAAACACAGTTTATACACATGGACTTCACCTGATGGTATGCATAGGAATCAGATCGACTACATCTGTGGAAGGAACCGCTGGAGAAGCTCAATATCAGCTGTGAAAACTA